TTCAGTTTTTTTTATTAGAATCCAGAATGAGAGTTGAAATTATTAAGAAGGAAAATGTAGTAGGATGATATGGTTTAGGAACCTGAAATGAAGGAGGAGATTGATATCAATTTCCCCAACTCCAATGAATGCTTCACAGCTAACGCTATTTTCAAAACAACCAAAATGATATCTGTATACATGGACATCACCAATTGAATAACACAGCAATCAAATCGACTATATTATTGCTAAAAAGAGGTGGAGGAGCTCAGTTATAGGATCAAAGACATGGCCGGGTACTAGCTATGGAACAGATCATGAACTGCTCATGGTCAAGTTCCAAATTAAGCTAAAGAAGAAGAAAATCTACTACTTAACTCAATGGGATTTTGAGCACATACCCACCATTTTCAAGGAGGACGCTTTGGATTCCCAAACCTCATCGACAGAAAACCAGATAAACTGAGGAATGAACTGAAGGAAATTGTTATGGACGAAATATGAAAAGAGATTGCCAAAGATGGAGAAACAGAAGTCAGCAAACTGAATGTCAGAACGAACTGCAGAAATTGCCAAGAAGAAAAGCCAAGCCAGAAAGATTAAAAATTCAGGGGGAAAAAAAAAACCTTAACAAAGAGTTTTAGAGAGCTGTTAAAAAGATGAGAAGCAATATTATAACATCTGTAAAAACACTGAAAATGGAAACAGACTTGGAAAAACAAGGGAAGACTTCCAAAATGTCTCTGAAATCAAAAAGAGATTCCAGACCTTAAATGGATACGCTGAAGGAGTTAGAAGGAATATACTGAAATTATGAACAGGAAACGTGTCAACATTCAAGATAAGATAGAAGATGTTTCCTATTTACAAGTACCTCCAGTACTAGAAGCTTCTAACCAAGCTATGCCAGTAAATCTGGAGACTAAAAATGGCCAATTTACATTTCGATACCAAAACAGAGAGTCTTAATAGATTGTGCAAACTATTGTACAATTTCCTTCATTGCACAGCATAGCAAAACAACGCTTAGGATCATCCAATGCCGATTAGAGGCCTACACACACACACACACACACACACACA